CATTTATATAATCTCAGCTACTCAGGAGCCTGAGGCAGGAGGATCACAAGTTTAAATGAGGCTAGACTGAACAGTTTAGGGTGACCTTGTCTCAAAAAGTAGGGGACTAGGGCTGTAACTCAGTGTAGCATGCATGGGACCCTGGGTGTAAGCCCCTTGCTCCTGTTGCCCCAAAAAGGAACAGGGGTTTTTATTTTACTTTATTTATTGATTGATTGATTTTTTTTTTTTTCAGCACTGGGGATTCAACCCAGGACCTCATGCATGTTAGGCCAGTGCTCTACCACTGAACTACTTCCTTTTTTTTTTTTTTGTTTTGAGACAGAGTCTCAGTTACCCAGGCTGGCCTCAAACTTGTGATTCTTCTGCCTCAGCTTTCCAAGTCACTGGGAAAACAGGCAGGCACCACTGCACCCAGCTTAATTCTTCATTTTTAATTTGGGGGTAACAATATCTGCATTGAGGGTGGTTGCAAGGTGTTTTTGCAGCAGGAAACATCACCTTACAGGAAGGGCTCCAGAGACTAAGCTGCTAGCCACAGCAGCAGGACTCCTATCCAACCCCCTTGATTTTTACACGAAGATCTCAAAGAATGATTTTTCAGGGCCATACAGCTATGATTGTAGCCCACTTAGGCAGCCTCACATTCCACAGCCTTTCTGAAACTTCCCCACCCCCAAAATTTTGGAGATTGAACCCCAAGTCTATGTCATGCTAGGTAAGCTTTCTACCTCTAAGCTACATCCCCAGCCCTGGCCCTTTTTATTTTGTTTTGAAACAGGGTCTTGCTATATTGCCCAGGTTGGCCTTAAACTTGCAACCTTCCTTTCTCAGCCTACTTAGAAGCTAGGATCACATCTGTGCCTGGCTCCCAGCAGCCTTTCTGTGTTGAGCTTTACTTTGCCTCATCCAAAAAAACTACTGAAAATAGCAACTTAGGAGGCTAAAGCAGGAATTCCAGATCGAAAGTTCAAGATAAGTGTCGCAAACTTGGTGAGACCCTGTCTCAAGATGAAAAAATAAAAAATAAAAAGGCTGCCAGGTGGGGCTGGGGTTGTGGCTCAGTGGCAAAGCTGAGTATGTGTGAGGTGCCGGGTTGTCAATAGACCTTTATTATAAATAAAACAAGTAAAAAAAATTAAGAAAAAAGAAAAGGCTGCCAGGTGTGGTGGCACACTCCTGTAATCCCAACAGTTTGGGAGGCTGAAGCAGGAGGACCACAATTTCGAAGCCAGCCTCAGCCTTGTTTGGGGCTTGGCAAGGCCCTAAGCAATGAGACCCTGTCTCAAAATAAAAAATTAAAAAGGGCTAGGGATGGTTGAAAGCCCCTGGGTTCAGTCCCTGGTACCCCAAAATTAATTAATTTAAAAGGCTGGGGCTCAGAGAGTGCCCCTGGGTTCCATCCCCAGTACCACAATTAATTAATTGAAATAAAAGAAGGCAGTGAGTATTTTAAAAATATTGTTTTTTTCTTTTTTTGTTATTTTTGATTGTTTTATTTTTGGTACTGGGGTTGGAACCCAAGGATGCTTTACTACTGAGCTAAATTCTCAGCCTTTTTATTTTGAGACAAAGTCTCACAAAAACGCTCAGGTTGTCCTTGAACTTCTGATCCTTTTGGCTCAGCCTTCTGAGCTGCTGAGATCACAGGAGTGTGCCACCACACCTAGCTTAAAAATATCTTTCGAAGATTTTATTGGTGCCTGACTGACCCTTGAGGCAGAGGGTGTGTTCAGCTAATCTGGTCACTTGGCTCTGATAGGCTGTTTGTCCCAAGTTCCCTTTGATGTTACAGATACAGGATCATTACCTGAGTGCCAAGAGTGTGGCCATCCTACAGCTAAGGATTACATAAGAAAATGCCACTCTGCCCCTGGGACCAGGACCTGAGGCTAGAAAGTAGGAGGACAGGAAAGAGAGATGCTCAGTTTTTCCTGTAAGCTTTTTTTCCTACTCTTTCAAGTTACTGGGCACATAATATTTTAATAAAAAATAAAATTGTATTGGAAAATAAAACTACACGTCATCATAATATATTTGTCAAAATTCATAGTGCAACACCAAGAGTGAACTCCAATAAAGACTATGGACTTTGGGTGATAGAGCTTTGCCAATGGAGGATCATCAATTATAACAAATGTCAGAGCTAGGGATGTAGCTAGAGCACTTGCCTAGTATCCCCAAGGCCTGGGTTTGATCCCCAATACCATAAAGAAAAGACAATTTTTTAAAGATGGTACAAATGTACCACTTTGGTACAGAATGTAAATAATGAGGAGACCTTGTTTGTGTGAGGGCAGGGGGTATATGGGAACTCTGCATTTCCTGATCAATTTTGTTGTGTACTTAACTTTTTGTGGGGGATACTGGGGATTGAACCCAGGGGCATTTTACAATTGAGCCACATTCTTGGCCTTTTTTTTTTTTTAAATGTTTTGTTTTGAGATAGGGTTTAAGTTGCTTA